GAAGATGTAGATAGATTGTGGAAAGAAAAAATATTTTTGCAAGTTTAACTTTGGTGGACTGGCCACTTAACATAGAGCCTGTAACAGAAACACAGCCAGTGCCAGGCTTCTATGCCAGTGCCTGGGCAAGAAACGTGAGAGTGTACCTATGTTCATTTGGTCAGTCAGAAGACTGTCACAAATGACAGTGTCTCTAAATTGTAAACATCAAAATATCAAATGTCTATATCCAAATATGGGTATAAACATTTCAACTCTTTCAAGAACAGGTAATTTAGTGTTAACAACTGGGTTGAAAATGTAAATTAGCCGTCGTAAAGGGTAAAAAAGCTGACGTTTCGAGCGTTAGCCCTTCGTCAGAGCGACTAATTGTTGTTGACATTAAATCACCTGTCATACTCTCCCACCGACGCAGCACCACAGTTTCTTTAGAAACTTACCCCTTTCTTCTTTCAAGAACAGACTCTCTCATTTATTGTCATTTTTTGTTTGAGACTCTATCTACATACATACCAGTTGTAAGGTTTTAAGAATGTCAAGTTTTCAGTAAGTGGAATCTCAATGCCTAGCACAGGCTGCAAATGTCAAAATCCATATATTGCCAGACCTCAGGAAGATGTGGATAGGTTATGACCACATTCATTTCTTTAAACCTAGATATTTTGTTCCAATTTATTTTATTTAGTTTTGTTTTTGGAGTTTGGTACAGACTGCAATTGACAACTTTCTGAGTAATTTTTTTGAGACAGTCTTAATCTCTGGTCAGTTTAGTTTCTTTCCTACAAAATTATTGTTCTTTTAATACACTGTGTATGAAGTCTTTTGTGGAACTCTTTTTCTGTCATACAGTTTTTTTATATATTTGTCAAAGTATTGATGTATTGCTAGTGTGTTAAGGAGAGTTGCCTATTGACCAGTCCTTGGAGTAAAAGGGTTGGAAACTCCACGTGTTGGGCTTCCAACTGAAACAAAGGCCTCATTTCACTTTTATGTCATAGAATGTAATTATAAACTGTGACTGTACCTTGCCAAGGTCACATTTTGTTCCCTTTAGTACTGGAAAGCATACTACTTGTTTATACAGAATCTACTTGTTCATAAAAGATGGAAGCTGGAACCTCAACTGGAATCTTTTGAGGGAGATCGCAGTTAATCTAATCTAAAAGCTATTTTAATTGTATGAAATGATTGGATATTTACTTAGTAACTAGGTGAACTTTAGAAGTACAGTTAAACATTCTTATTACCACAAAATTTTTAAAGCAATTAGGACTTTCTTCTGTGTAAAGATACTTACTATTTCTAATACGATGCTCCCTTTGCTTTTTGATGCAGGGATGACTGTGAATGCTTGTGTGCGATATTTTTATAAAAACACATTCCTTGTTATTTGTGCAACAGCAATTGTTTGTTGCCCCTCCAGCTCAAGTTCAGCAGAGGCAAACCTGGAAAATACCCTCTGGAGTGGCATAAACGATGCTGGCCCCCCTGGATGGAATTTATTTTTGTAATTTTAATTGGGTTTGCAAAATAAGATTCCTCATGGGCTAAAAACCATCTTACACATGCAAAGTAGTACGTGACATGTTCCTCTCCAAGCTTGATTGAATGTGTAAAATAATACTGGACGATGCCTGGAGATAAAAAAAAAAAAACGCGTCTTGAAGGACTTGTCCATTCTTTGCTGGCCAGGATGCTAGTATCTTGGCAGAACGTATTCCTCTTGGTTGCATTTTGCACTCATACGTAGTTGACCAGATTTTAAATGAGCCAAATTTATATGTAGTTTCTACGAGATTACTCTCTTCAATTCGCCCCTCTGGGTACATCACTCTATAGACGGCGGTCAGTAATTTCAAATCATTGGCATTAAAAGAAAGGAGCTTGAAGCATGACGAAACGTTAATGCCCCAATTATTCATCCAGTTTATTCCACGTAGTGGCACATTTGTAGCAATATTATAAAATTCGTAGACCGTCGGCCAGTCGGAAGGGGAAACATCTTTATCATCTGGGGTTGTACTTAAGGTGAACAAAATTTAAGAAAATCTCCTTGAAACTCGCTCTCTTTATTCAAGGTAACTAATTTTCATCGTCAGATGAACTTGAAATTTCGTGAAACAAATCACGGGAATTTGAAGTCGCCCCGAAAGTATCTGTCAAGTTCGACTTGTTACGTTTTCGCTCATGCCTTTCGAAAGTTGAACGTGATACGAAGTCATTACAATGAGCGCAGTAAATATCTCCTTTCTTGTCATCGCACTCCATGCGTTCTATAAAGGAGATGCGAAAATGAAAACCCGTCGCTTTCAATTCGATATTTCGACAAAATTTGCTGCTGCATATGGGGCAAAATTTGCTATTCCTGGCCAACGCAAGTGTCGGCTAATTTGTAAGGCATTTCTTATTGACAGTTCAGATTTCAATTAGACTATCTTCAGTGCGTCACTTTAAGATGTCAAAACAGCGAGACTCGTTTAATTCTCACCTCAAAGGTAAATTAAATGTATATTAATTAAAAACCCTCTTTTGTGCCAAAAAAGAGACCACTTAATGGATGCTAAAAGATTTACGTTACTAAAGTTCACCTTATGTTCAATTAAAGATTCATGAAAGGTAACTGCTAGCTTTTGGATATTTCGGTTTACAATTTAAGACGCCTAAAGCTTAAGTCAACCTTTAGGGATGCTTTAGGTTTTGCCTAAAGGCACTGAAATAAGAGCATTCGTCCTGTGAAAATTCAGGCCTGTAAGAGATTTGAACCCATGACCTCGGCGATACCGGTGCAGCACCCTACCAACTGAGCTATCAAGCCAACTTGGAGCTGGTCAATAAGTTGGTTCCAAATAAACCCGTGAAGTATGAAGTTCAAATATATGACTTTCATATATTCTTAGCCGTTTATTCATTCATTCACGGGTTTATTTGCTTAAATAGTGTTCACTACTGCGAGGATCACTTTCATATTCATAACTCATCTGTATTGCAGTGCTCCACAGCATGACGAACAGAGACTAAAATACCACGTGAAGAAAAAAACTTATTAATTACATTTTATTTCATATAATAAGACAAAAACAGGCAAAGAAAAAAAACTCAAATTCCACGATTGGGAGGCCTGTGCATAGACCTTGAGAATAAAGTTGAAATGAAAAACCAAACTATGAAAAGTAACACTTATTTGTAAATTACAACTGCAGTGATTTCCGGTCTGACAAATTTCTTACCACTTTCATCAGTAAAGCACTCTTTCTTCAAAAACTCCATGACCTTGTCATAAACCGTTTTTTCAGCATTAGCACGGAAATTTTCTTGGTGGGTTAGGAAGTCGAGAAGCAAGGCACCATCTGCTGATGCCTCATCAAAACAGCAGCTGATATCGGCATTGTACTGAACGGCCCATAATTCTTCGTACTTCCAGTTGTTTTTTTGAGCAATTTCCACAAGATCCACCTCGGTGTAAAGCTTCTTCACCGACCCAAGTTCGACATGTTCAACGCCATCCGTGTGAAGTATTTTAGCCAGCTTCGGAAAAAACGATTTTTCTGGTCCAACTGTGCAGAACATGGCTCCACCGTTGGCAAGCAGCTTAAGACAGCTCTTTAAGGAGCTCTCGGCATCCATGTAGTACAGGGCTGCTACGAAATGAATCATGTCGAAGCAGTCTTCGAGTGGAAACGACTCGATGAATTGCTGAAAGGTCTTCTGGTGCCATTCGAAGGAAAAATCAGCCAGACTACCCAATGGCTGCGGCAATGGTGTCACAGATGACTTGAACTCCTGTATGAGGTCACCGCTGGGTTCAGTGATGGTGGTGTGTATCACTGGTTTCTTCATCTGTGACGATACCATGGCTGTTGTTATAGAATTTAGAATTCTCAAGTCTGTTTTCCCGTTTCCACTGCCAACACCAAGAACACGAAAAACGGGAGACGCAAGACTTGAGACGTGACTCATTGTATGAGCTGTAACATCTTCTGCAAAATTTGCCAGGGTTTCCCTCGATGAAGATGTTTTCCAGGATAATTCAAGTGCAGCGAGATAGCGATCTTGTCCTTTGGTTGAAATCATTTTCGCGCACAACTGCCCGACTCCAGTTATAAGGATGATACAAGGTTTATTACGAGAAGGTAACACGAGGAGAGTAAAATCACTTAGATGTCTGTTATTACACAATGAAAAGCACCTGGAAAGAAGATTGCACAAAACCACATAATAGGCTCTTTTCACGACTTAATCACGTGTTTGGGTACCACATAGCAACGCATTGCTGGCGAGCAAGCAAACCAGCGTCCCGTTCATTGTGGTGATCTACTCAAGCGAAACGAACTTTGACTTTTTGGTCGAAAATATCCCAAACACTTGTTGTTTAAGAACTGTTAGGGGAAAAATTCATGTGCGCAGTGTTATTTCAGGTTTTATTTCAATTCGGGTTTTGGTTTCTCTGTTCGTTCTTTGACTCGACTTAATTTTGAGATTCTTTCCGTCGTAGAAACAGATGGAATATTTAAGTAGTTTTCGTTTAACTTCAAAGAGACCTTTTTACGCCCTTTTGTGTCCTTATTCAGATATTGCGATTTGTTTAACAATAGCACCTCACACCAGTTAGTTATTAAGCAAGTACCATGTGCAGTTTTGATGATTACAGTTTTAGTTTTGTCTCTAGCATGTTGTGTGTTAGAGCGCTCTGCGAATAAAAGTACTTTGGAACCAAAACGCTGTCTCTTCCTTGACGTCCGTACAAGCTCACTCGAAGCAGATCTCCGTGTGCCAGGAAATCGTGACGAGTTTCCGTTCTCGCAAGCCGAGTCGTCTCTACCGAGCTATTTTCCCCCGTTTGTACGTTTTCCGAAAATTCCAGTGTAGCGAGCGAAAACCTATCGTCACAGAACGAAAAACGAGATTTATTGTGACTTTTGTTTCATCGTGCTTGAATTCCGCCTGATTTACCTTTGCTCTGGGAGTAAAAGCCAGGCGAAAGCCCAAATATAAGACAAGATATGGCCGCTTCTCCAGGAACGAGTGACAGTGAGTTTCTTTGATATTATAGTCGTATTTCAGTCTTATAAACGTAACGTCGTTCAATACAGAAAACGGTTGGTAAAGTTTCCGCACAGCCCTATACTATTGTAAAACAAATCTGTTTTCCCAACGGAAATGTATTGTTTTTGTCATTGTTTTCTCTGTTCAAGAACTGAATGCATAATGTAGGATGGGGCTGTGCGGAAATTTTACCAAACGGTTTTCAGTTTTAAGAATTATATTTCCTTGAATCCTGAAGATTATGATCTATATTTCCGATTTTTGCGTGTTGAATTCTTTAAAGTTCGTTGAACACAACTAATGTTCACATTCTCGCTCGCCTTCCTTTTTGCCGCAACTGAGTGGCCAAATACTCACCTTGGTATTTCGAAATCATAATCTTTTCGCCAACCAGTTGTGGATTCACAAATAAGAATAACATTTTGTTCTGTTTTACAACCTGCCAGAAAGAAAAAACGAGGTTGTGCGTTGCATTGTTGTGTTCCACAATGTAACAGTGACTCCCGTTACAACAGCTCGTTGTCTTTTCATCGTTTTCCAAAGAAAGACGAACAACTCAGAGCAAACTGGATCGTAAAAATTCGACGAGACATAGGTGAAAACTTTAAGGTAGGTACTAACTACAACTAATAGTAGTAATTGTGAAATTTCATTAAATGTATTGTTGTATTCAATCTGTCTTTCTCTTGGATTACATGCACTTTTATAGCTTAAATATCTTATTTCTTTCTAGCTCACTGAAGGCACCAGGGTCTGCTCTGCACATTTTGTAGATGAAGATTTTCTGCCCCCTGATCGGGCTGGTCGACGGAATTTGAAAAAAGATTCTGTCCCGTCTGTTTTTAATTGGCCAGCTAGAACGACCCAAAGAAGAAAGATTGTACGACATGTTGAAAGGTAATAGTATCAATTGCCAGCAGAACGCTTTGAAAAACGAAAATAGTAATAATAATAATAATAATAATAATAATAATAACAATAACGTAGTAGTAATAATAATAGAAGAAAATCTCTCTACGAAAAGCCTCATTTTTCTTGTGTGTAGCCAATGAGACACACTGAGGAGTTAACCCTATGTTGCTCCACTTTCCTGTAAACCTAATTTCTTTCTCTGTATGTTTATATCATCTATATGTTCATTAAACTTCTTCCCTTTAGTGAGACACAAACAGACGAGAGTGATGTAGAGCCTGAGCAACCTGAAGCACCATCTCAATTATAGCAAGATTATCAGGCTGCAAGGAGTGAGATTCAAAGCCTAATGGAGCAGCTGAAAATAACTTAGTTGGAAGTGAGCAAAAAGGAGACTGAGATGAAAATACTCAAGGAGGCTGCTGCTGCCACAAAGGAGTCATCAGAGGCAAAAAATTCAAGAATTAGAGACAAATCTTATGATTAGTCGGTTTGGCATGGAAAGGTTCTCTAAAGATAATGCTCTTGTGAGATTTTACAAAGGTTTTCCAACCTATGATCACTATAAGTTATTTTTTGAACTTGTTAAACCAACAGCAGAAACAATGGTTTATGTGTATGCTTCAAAAATAGGTACAAACAGGCCAGGAGTACGCAAAATGCAACTGAAAGATGAGCTTTTTTTATTTTGTGTTCGATTGAAGCTTGGTTTATTTGAACTGGACCTTGCCCAGCGTTTTGGTTTACATGTTTCCAGTGTGAGTAGAAAAATACCAACTTGGGCCAATTTTTTGTACTTCTTTCTTGGCAATCAGCCAATATGGCCAACTAGAGAGTGCATTAATAAACTTATGCCAGATAGCTTCAAAGAGCTCTATCCGTTAACACGTGTCATCATAGACTGCACTGAAATCTATGTCCAAACCCCTTCTTCATTGTTGTTACAATCTCAGCTGTATTCATCGTATAAGTCTAACACTACTTTAAAAGGTTTAATTGGGATTGCTCCTCATGGGGCCATCACATTTGTTTCCAGCCTGTACACTGGTTCAATATCAGACAAAGAAATGACTCGTTTTTCTGGCATTTTGGATCTTCTGGAGGCACATACATATACATACATATACTTCATTTAAGCTCGAAATTCAGTGTAGCTGTAGAGCTAATATCTTCGAGAAAAAAGCTAAAAATGAAATAAAAATATGCTATCTAACAATTTCAATATTATTTATAAACTATATACAACTAAAAGCTAAGAGGGAAAACTAAGAGAGAAACATAACTTGCAGATCTACTGTGGAAAAGCTTCATATCTGAGGATCTCCTGTTTGAATTCTAGAAAATTTAATGTTCTGTAAGTGTCTGGGAGAGAGTTCCATATTTTGCTAGCTAAGTATGAAAAAGAGTGCAGACCGTATGTCGTTGTTTTTGGGTTGGGAAGGGACATGATATGATTTCCGCGCAATTGTAGGATGAAGACCGTACGGTGAACATATCTTTTAAATTACCTGGATAATTCGTAAAGAATAGACTCTTATATAACGT